CACGTTACATTGGCTTTCATAAGTTCCCTTGCAATGTTCCTCTTTTAGAGGGTTGTTAAGCTACACATAGGCACTTCAACGCCATTAAATTACTTTTTAATATGTAGTAATGTTTCAATGAAAAATTTGAAATAAGCATATATGTGGAACAGCAAAATGTCCTATCAATATTTATAATAAAGTAAAACATCATCTACTGTTTTTAGAGACTTATGGTGCTAAAAACTTGATTTGAGTCGCACTGCGCAACTCCTCTTACATATCGTTATTCAATTACAACAGCTGTTCTCAAACTAACCAAAAATCTAAGTTCTTCTTCACTATATTCTAAATATTTATGTTTTTGTCTGCGGTCAAACTGACCATTTAATTCGTCTGACCACACCCTGTAGTTCAAATATAGAATTTATTTTGCTGAAGTCATCAGCCGATTTGAAACAGAAAAACTTTAAACTTTGCATTGTTTTCAGATGGACGCAAGGAATAATATTATACTTCAGTATTAATTCAAGCCATGATTGTAGTATAGATCGTAATGAAATGCTGCGACTGGTTTGCAATAATCAAAGTTAGTTAGGACTTCTATATTTGTAAAAATTAGCCGCAGTACTTTTGAGAGGGAAATGCAAACTTTTAGTGTCCAAGTTTTCTGAATGCCCTTAAACTTGAATGTGGTTTATGAAAAATGTGGTCAGATCCACTTCTGACCTGCTTTCATGATTTTTTCCTTAAGAGATTCATTGATATAAGTCAGACTCCTTGGTTGCAATATAATATCTGGACGAAGACTCCGACACAGACATAGGACAAATTTTTTTGTGTAAGATGACACACAAATATGAAGATACATCCAGCCAAAGAATAACAACAGCATTGATACCTTGAATAAGTTGATGCCGAATCATTTACTTGTCACAGGAGCTATGAATTCTGTAAATATAGGATACTGTAAGCATATTAATTACCGATAATATCAGCTGTCTGGAGTACTTGCAGGCTGCACGACTTCGGCGTATATATTCGAAATGATCGCTCAAACATGAGAAGTGTGTTCCTTACCCGTTAAATGTAAAGATGGTCGACTGCGGGTGTCCAAGTAACTGAACTTCATCCATATTTGTAACTGTTCTGCGATGCTTAGTCATTCTGCTTAAGTATTAGTACAATTGTTTCGATGTTGAGACTTTTCTATTTACACGGCACTCATAAATAACTTTGTTAGTACTTGCATTGAAATGTCATAGCAGCCTAAAACGCATAAGAGAAGGAAGCAGATTAGGTGACTTTGTCGACAAAAGATTAAGTAGACCTGTGAGGCTTTTTCACATTATCTTTATCACATTCACACACACAAACATTAAGGTTTTCGTATTAAATAAACTAACAGGAAGTAGTGAGATCATAATAGACTGCTGATTGAAAAACCACTTTTTTTGTCCAAAGATTGCTTTTGTGCTATCTTTTCTTAACTCATTTGTGACCGCCAATCCTACAATCTTCTCGGCCGTCTCTGTTTTTTTGAAGGGCAATGAAAACAGTTTCGGAATTGGTCACACTGCAGTTTTGACTATTAACGGTATCATAAGGTATAAAAAATTTGTATAAAGAAATAACTGTTGTGTTACATGATGTTTTTAATGCAATTTTCTTCTAGTGATAGTGGTGCAACTCAGAAAAAGGTTTTTCAATTAAACTATCAAAAACTACGGTCTTACTGCCGCCAGGTATTGACAAAATTTCTGGTCAAAACGGTATTTATAATCCCAAAAAAAAAAAAAAAAATTGCAGAACTATGGCACCAATAATTCATCAATTATATCACTTAGTTCCCTCTGTCAACACAAACTTTTTGTAAAGAAGTGAACTGACCGCTTAAAAAGATCTACTGAAAGACACTAAATCTGAGAAGAAAATTCGATTGACAAACATTATACTTTTGAGGAAGGCATTTGGTAAAGCAAGTGGCCAACCAGCGACAACAGTTTTTGTTTTATATATGTTAAGGATTACCTTTTTTGCTCAAATCCGGTTAAAACGATTATATTACCAATTCTTTGACTTTTATTGCTGAGAAGTTAATTATTCAAGGGCCCTGCGAGGAAAAAAAAGGCTTTTTTGCTAATTTCCAGTGAAATCAGATTTTTAAGCACGTGGCTTTCCGTAATACACTTGATCAGCACCGAATAACTTTTATTCAGATGTTTATTGGTTGTAAATTAAATCAGAGACCGCTCTGTACAGAACAGTGGTTTTACTGCGAGGTTAGGCTGTTGAAGCTAGATGTTGTTCAGGACTTACCAAAATGCTCTTGAAAAGTTTTTTTTTGCCCGGAATTTCTGAGATTTCTGGGAGGCTTTATGTACATGTGTTGAAGCTTTAAACTAATAACTTTGACAGGCAACAGGTTGTGAATCATCAAACTAGAACATAACTTATAGCCATAAGAGACTGACATTCACATCTTGTCATGGTTTTTTTATATATGACAACTAAAATGCATCTTTCCGGTTCATTCCACAGCTAATAAATTGCAGTGGTAATTAAAACCAAAGTCAAGAGTCAAATGAACGACTGCCGTACTCAACTACAATTTGCTCGCAGATTCTGAAATGGTCAAGAAAAAACCTGTAATATTTTGAAATGACCGCTGGAAGTTAAAATTTTTTAGTTTTCCAACGTTAACATTAAAATATATTGAGCTTACGAAATAGAAAAAAAATACAGCATTGATTAAATTCTATCATGAAACATCCATAAGAATGATGGAAAATAAAAAATTCGACATCCGTGACTTCCATGTGGTGATGCAAAAATTGCGCTGTAAATCTTTGAAAAGTTGAACTTTTTCATTGATAAATTAACAAAGTTTAATATTTTTTTCTAATCAGAAGCTTATAAATGTGCCCCCAGACAAACTGATCTCCAAACTCTGTTGTTAAGGTACACTAACAATTAAGCTATACCTCTTAGTGTTCAAATTTTTGGTGGTGGCAAAGAAATGTTGGCGTTTATAGGTGCAGCAACAAAGCATGTTTTAGTGAAATACTTCAATACCACAAGATTATTTGATTTTCCATCTATACAGCTGATAACTGTTAATTTAACCAACGTTTTTTCATTGTTCTAACATATATTAGAATACAGTGTGCTTAAAGCTGGCAAAAAAAATAAAAAACAAAACAAACAGCTTCTGCAGTTTTTTTCTTTTTTTTTGCACAACGAACAATCAATACCCCAAGTAGCGGCAAGAATTTTGCAATGATCAAAGTTCATTTCAGTTTGCCTCATCTAAATGGAATAATTGACTTCGATACATTCTGACTTACAGATAACAATAAAAGAAAATTTTTTGCATAGTAACCGCAGAGATAAATCCAATGAAAATTTTTCACATCTGGACAGTGACGAGAATTGTGTTTAATAACGACATAACCGGTTTGTATTTGGCCATTAAATGCTCTTGAAAGGAAACTAATGGGTCAGCTGGCAGAATTTCAACAGTTCCAACAGACCGTTTTAGTGAACATCGCCTTATGTGGACAGTGGACAGTTGTCGACGCAAATACTGCAACAATGTCAATGCTACATTTATCGTTCAGTTTATTCATAGTACTTGCGATTTATATTGTTTTTTGACGCATTTTCTTCCAACTACGGATAATTAACCACTTTAACAGTTTGATTGATCAGGTTCTTAGCAATACTTTTCTTTTTCTCTAGCAAACTGCACGAAGGTTTTGAATTGGAGTAACCATTTTTCAACCATATGTTACAAATTTTTTCTGGATGATTCTGTGTTACGATGCAATAAAATATGTGTTTTAGATTTTGCATCATCTGTACAGCTTGAATAGTTCAATCTCTTTTCTATTTACACAAAAAATTTTCCGCGTTGCTACCACCTGTCTGTCAAACTTGATATGTGCATATCATTTTGAAGCCTCTAATCGTTTTATTCTTAGGTGGACTACAGCAATTCGAGGACGCTAAAGGCGTCGGACCCGTTAATGTCGTAAGTGTTTTTTTAGTGTATGTACAAAGATTTGGACGTTCAGATACAAAAGTTAAATATGACATCATGTGCGCTGTTTTGTTCGATGAACTTTAGAGCAAAAAAATTTTCATTCCCTATACATTTATTTTTTTCCCTCCTCAGAACTTTCATAATGATCTTTAATCCCATTTAGTGGGTACCAGACGCGTCTGAAGGTTCGAGTGGCGAAGAATACTACAAAATTTAACGAAATCTTTGCTGCCGTTGTACAGACACCTAAATGTTTTTCTACAAAAACAGATTCAAATTCACCTCTTGATTCTGAGAGTTCCTCTTCCGCTTCCTGCTCTTTATCCTCTAAAACTAGTACTGCTTTTCTTTTCTTCGTTGTACTTGTTTGGGTCTTGGAGTAGAAGTAACAGTAGATTTTGGTCTTCAAGTTTTTTTTCATCGTGTAATCTGCAAAACCAAAAACGACGACCATAGGAATACCTGTGTTCACTTTTTACTGCGAAATTCTTAACAGACATATCCACTTCCAGGCCCTTTTACATGCAGTTTATGTGCCGCGTCTTACGAAAAGCATTTCCAGCTACACTCGCATATTGCTTTAGAGGTAAGTTAGTCCATCAAGTCCACTATTGCTCTGCTTAAAAGTGTTTTTGAGAGTAGATGTAAGCCACATTCAAGCAGTCGTTTCTGTCAATTAAAAACCAGCCTTTGTAGCATGGAAAACTACTCATCACCTGTTCGCAGTGCAACGCAACATCACATTCACTTTGGAAAACGCACGTATGCAAGATATGCAGATCATTCACAAATAAATTAGGCGAGCACGAGGCAACTCATTATCAGGATAAGATAGGAAAGGGAGCCATATTTGAATGTTCTCGTTGCTACCGCTCATTTAACGGTTCGTTACGGCACTTCTACCCTGAAGAACTGTCAAAAATATCACCGAATTACGAGACAGCTTGTATTACATTTGAATGCTAACTTGGCCAATCATTGATAAAATTCCCTTGAGCTAATTAGAACGAGTTAGCGAATCAAAAACCTTAATAAAACTTAAGAAAAACCGCGTCACTTAAGGAATTTGCCCTTTACAGAGTACGCTGATCTAAAAAACCATATTAGTTATGCGCATCAACGACGTGCAGCTATTAAGAATTATAAATGTCAAGTTTGTGGTGAACTTTTCCACTCCCGGCATCATCGGGACCAGCACCTAGTTTCACATTTCAAAACGGCTCTTAACGATATTGAAAGAGACGCGACCCACTTAGGTTTGAATACGGCTTGTTTTACAGCTTAGGTCACTTTTAATGCGAATTCTACTTAATTTATAGTTCAACAAACCTCTTTCTTACAGAAGTGTTGCAAAGTAATCAGTGCCCTATATGCTGTCTGATTCTTAGCAGTCTGCGGACTTTCCGCCTTCATATTATCTATCGTCACTTAATTGGTGATTCCCTCTGCACCCAGCCAGGGGAGCATAGCGTAGCTGTGGTCCAGGACGAAAAGACCCATTACAACAAGGTAAAAAAATCAGTATTTGAATTCATGACTAAACTTACATATAGATGCCACTAACGGCGGCTCACTACAAGATTCACTCCAACTGAAAAACTCAAGTTTTTTAGGACAGTAATCAAAACGCCGAGTTCTCCGAAGGTACCGCTACAAGTAATTGGATGAAACTGGAAGATCCTGAGACAGTGAAATCAGATGTTCCCTTAGTAAGCTTCAAAAACATACCGGATCGGGAGGTAAAAGTAGAAGTCAATTCTAACGTTTAATATTGCCACAGATGCTTTACTATACAGTCATACGTGGTAGGGAATTACTTTGAGAGGAGAACTATCGGTGCATCAATGGCAGTTCCACTCTTTAAGAATCTCTTTTTCAATGAGTCTTCGTCCTTCCTACCTCCATTGTGAAGACAGCTACGCAGTTTGTAAATTCGTTCCACGTTTGCGACACTTTCGATCCTGTTTGTTCCCGCTTCATTTCTAAATTTATATTATGGCATTTGTAGAAAAAGGAATGAGAGCACTTGTCGATCGTCTGTGATATTGATTTACTCTTTGTAATAGAATATTCATCTTTAAACCACCCCGACTGTACAATTTACAATCAACTGTAGTAAGTCTTTCTCCCACACGGGCTTTGTCTTTTTACCTGTATATAATCCTTAAACCCAACCGCGGGCATTAATGTTTATGTATCTTCGTTTTTTTGTTTGCTGGTCAAACTGGTGATGGAAATATCTAAAAATATTCATGTATATAATGAAAATTTGTCACCAAGAAGGTTTACACGACACAATCTTACTGCTCCACTACTCCGGATGGCCACACTAAAAGAATTTTGGAAGTCCTAAACATCATTATTGAAATTATACAGAAAATGAATATCATCTTTGCCTTTGGTAATTTCCGTTGTACACTAATCCCTAAGTCCAACTGTAACATATAATATACCACAACACTTCCTCCGCTCTCAACAAAAAACCAGCTAAGAAATATGCTGCACTTGGCAAGTCGATCTTGAAACTGACTTTCAAGCTTCTTCAACAGTGGTCTACTCTATTATAATGTACTTAAGAGTCAGAAAAGCTACATAGAGGTAAACAAGCAACAGTAAAGTACTAGAGTAAATTTACTTCAGAGAAATAATTCTGATGAAGCTCAAGATTGAGAAACGCAGCTTGCTTCCCCCTCTGTCTTAGTTTATTGCTTTTGTTTTTGACGGCTTTGCTCGATATACTTACAATATACGTAATCGTCCATATCCTGATGCATCGCTGAATCCCGCTGCGCCATAATTCTCTTAACTTTGTTGGCCAAATAAAAAGATCCTAAATACTGATTTTTGTCAAGTAGTTGTGAGATGTGTCGAACCACTGTGCGCTCGGTTCCGAAATGCCTCATTAAACATTTGATAAAGAGAAAGATTAATTCTAAAAAAGTAGTAAAAGAATAATAATGATACAATGAGTGGAAAACCAGGTGAAATAGTCAAAGGTCTACCACATATTCCCAGAGTTCCGGACACAGCTAGCCCAACAGCGTGAATTGCCAGCCTAACATGATATGGAACATTTTTAAACATTACAAAGCAGATCTGTTACCTGAAAAGAATTGCTTTTAAAAGCATCCATAAAAGCTGCTTTCAAAATAAACTACTGTTATCATTCATTGTCATCAAGATAGGAGTTACATGTGTTATAGACGGTTATACCTGATGCAAATCAACTCTTTAAGCTTCAGAGCCTTACATATCAAGATAAGTTTTAACAGTGTGCAACTCAAATACAAAACAGCCAACTATCGGTTGCTTTGGCATTCCAGACATTCAATGATGTGCCATAAACAAATAAAAAGAATTAGCAGGGCATTATATACCAAATTTTTGAAACCTGAGAACCACATCTAGAAGTATCTATCAAGAGTCTCACATTTTTTCCAGCCACCCAAGAACATTTCAGACGTCAAAGGCTAGAATTCAGACTAAAGAACGCTGTAGCACAGCGAATCCCTTCTAGGCCTATACACGAACTTTCTGCTAATTCAGGCTAAGATACTTCAAAATCTTAATGTGTACTTAAGCAGCAGAAGACTGAAGACACCAAGTAGTCCACTCCGCTGGATTCTGGTAGTTCATCATCGCCCGAGCTAATTTCGAATGAAATCAAAGCTGGAAATTTGCCAGAAAAACTGTTTTCGAAACAATAGTCAAACATTTATAATCTTCTGAATTAGTAAGTTACAGCTAAGTATTGGTGGAGTAATGGCACTGTTTTTTTTTGATACCATTTTATCCTGCATTCTCAAGTCCAGCTGTAGTTGTGCGTGCTCCAGAGTTTGATGGCTATGTTCAGCGGAAACTCAGTGCAGCTTTTCGGCGGTTGGAGTAAGATTTTATGCGCTTATGAATGATACTGAAATGAGTCCAGTTTTCACGGGGTGTGTTCAAAAATATCTTTCTAATGGATGTTATCCATTTGGGTAAATGTTCAAACAGGCTGTTCACTGAAATTTCCCTGAACGACTATTTGTTCAGGACAGTTATGGCAAAATCTGATGTAGTAAGAATTGAAAATTTTTAAGATTACATACTTTTCTCTTAAATGTCATCAGAAGTATTTTTAGAGGTTTTCACTTTTGAAAACCATTGGTCTATATGCTAAAAACAGTGGTCTTGATTCCTCTGTATAAGTTGTCTTATCACTAAAATACGTGTTTTTTCACCACCACTATTAGATACCAATTTTGTTCTCAAAAGAAGAGCAGTTCTATTTTTTTTTTTATTGATTAAATTACTCAAGTTTGTAGCAAAAGTCTTTCAGTAATTTGGACGGTTTTCTTGATTTATCATTTTATTGTTCTTCTAGCTTCTTTTTTATTCATCTTTTATGGGGAAGTTTTGACAGCGCATCTCCTGCAAGCGATCTTTTCACTTTAGCAGTTTCATGCACAAAATGAAGCATTGGGTCTTCATTGTTTGTATCATTTTTCATCCTTTAAATTATCACGATATGAATCTTCAAATAGGATTTTATTCTTTCTTACCACCTATATATTCCTTCTTATTTTGGCGTTTCGACAATTTCAGCTGATTAGCATGTTTGCTCTATTTCTTGGGGTTAGAATTTAAAGTTCCAGTTTGTCTCACCGTCTTGGTGGACCAGTTACTTAAATTACCGAGAGAAACCACAATACATAGGCAGGGTGGTCGAATGTTTTATTTCTTGCTATTAAAAGCCTTTTTTTCAGTTTGTTATTTTTGAACAAATACAAGTTCACGTAATACCGCTTGACTGAACACGTCGTTTGCCTTGGCGTTTTCAACTGGAAGCCTTATACATCTTGAAAGACTAAAATTTTGATCTTAATATGCGGACGGTATCACTGAAATCAGGTTTTCTTGTTTAGAAAAAAAAAATTTGGAAGATGAAGAGAACTCTTGAACAACTTCTCAGTTTTCTTACTACATAGAATTGTAAGCCGCTGCTGTTTCCAAAAATTTGAAAAGGTCGACGCATTCGCATGTACTTTACGGTTGAAACAAACTATTTTTCACCTTATATCTACAAATCACAATTTTAATCACTCAAAAGCATTCCTTCTTTCGTTGCTTATATTCTATATGGTTATACTTTGATGGATGGGAAAGAAGTAAAACGTAAAAACAAAAGTCAGAATAAAGTTTTATGTTTTACAGTATTCGGGGAAGAATTTCTTTAATACATACTAAGGTTGAAAAAAAGCGGAGAGGTAATTGGCAGATTTGTAGAAGAAGAACAAGAAAGAAAAGGAAGTTACAAAAAAAGATATCGAAAAAATATTTTTTTTTTCGAACATTAGAAGCTTTTGCTGCTATACCATAGCTGAAATGGTATTTCATATTTTTGACCACTGCCTACGTTATTTTATTAAACTTAAACTTGTTTACTTTCTGCTCAGATAGACTACGTGGCTCATCTCGTGTTACAGAATTATGAAAAAATGAAATGAAAAAGAAGACTGTGTAGGAGAAAAGCCGGTATAATTAGTTTGTCGTTAAGAAATTGTCATAAAAAATTTGCTTGTTGATGTATTACATTATATAAAAAGGATATGGGGGAAAAAAACGAACAGCATTTAGCTGGTAATACAGAACAACGAAATAGCGAAAATTTGAACATGTGATGTATGGTATCGGTGTACATCAAAATAGTTTTTTTTCCTGCTTTTCATGTTATAAACCTCTTGCGTTCTGCTTGGTACAATGGTGAACTAAAAGATTAAAAAATTCTGCTTTTTTTTAGTTTCACCTTATTATCATAAGATCGATACCAACACACGAAGTAGTTGCTAGACCAACTACTTTAGATGTCTCGTCGATGCCGTTGCATCGGCAAAAACAAAAAAAAAAAAAATTGGCTTTTTCAACAAGTTAAACAGACGTATCATTGGGAAAAAAGTGAACAAAAAAAAAAAAAAGCAATGAATCAGGTTCTCAGAATCTATAAAAAATTTATTATTGCTCACTGATTAGGTAAATTTTGTGTTTTTAGATGATTTTAACTAGGATATAAATTTTCTTTTTATCAAAACCTTAGCAAAACTTCGTAATTCATCAGTGCGCCGCCGACGAAGCAGTTTTATAAAACCTATTTTCATATAAATTATCATCTTTCTTATTCTAATTGACAAATTTTTTTCAAAGCAACTTACAGTGTTGCTGCTTTTGGCGTCACTAAGTATAATCAATTTTTTGGTGGACAGATGATGTTAAATGTTTAGCATATACATCACAAGAAACAACTGTAATATCAGCGATGATAAAACGATTGTTCTATCGCTAAGTGGGGTAAAGTTTATTTTCTGTAGATGAGCAAAGCCAAAGGTGGACAAGCGATTTATAATTTCATAAAGTCATCTAGAAAAATTAACGTTTTTTTTTGGGGAGACAAAAAAAAGTGGTTTCTTTTTCCTGTTTAGTTAACAAGGGCAATAAGCTCAGGAATGTTTAGCAAAATTCTCAGTTAACACTCTTCTCAATTCTTGAATTATTATAGCACCGAAAGGTACGAAGGTATAAATGAAAAAAAGAAAAAAAGGAATGACAAAACTAAGTTCCAAGTTTTTTTATTCTCTAATTTTTTCTTCATC